GGTCTACAGTCAATACACGAGATGTTTTTGCACTCTGTTCTCCACTCTCTCTGTTCTCTTCTACTCTGTGCACACCGAGTATTTGTTTGTTTTATTTTGTTTTAATTTTTTATTTCCATGAAGACAGAAAAGACTTTCTCCATTAAAAAACTAAAACACTCCATCCCGTGGCTGCTCTACTATTCAATTGCGTCTGTTAATTTCTTCATCACTTTCTACTACGACTCGCTGACCATCATACCTTTTGGAATAATCAATAACCCGTGCTTCCTTCTCTTGATACTTTTCACGTACATTACGTACTCCATCTACATCCAATCTCCGCCCTCCATCTTAGCACACACTCGGCAGATCCACGCGTCCCTTATCAAGAAACTTATAATAACGGTGGCACTTAGCGATGCGCTGATACTTGGGATAATCGCCAGAGTGTGCACGTCTAAGCAGTACATCACCACTTTGCTTATTGTTACGATCATAATACAGATAGTGATATACTCTGAGTACATTTTAAAAATAATCATCCCAACTCTGCACAGGACGCCCCTGGACAACTACATCTCCATCATTTCGCACCTAGACACTACAGACATGGCTGAATTTGGGATATTCCGGTTCTACTTCTACTTCTATCTCTTTGTGTTTGCTTTTATAGTGCTGTTTATCATGCTGTTTTACATGTGCACTCTTCCCATGTCGAACTTTGGATACTCTGAGTTTATTTTTAAAAGTATTTTCTGCTACTGGACCTTCTACACTTTCATGTACCTCCTGATCACCCTGTGCGTGATCAGTTTCTATCTGAACATAAACTCAGGATGCAGTATTTGGCAGTCATTCCGCATCATTTCGAAAATAGTCACAGGGAACATTGGAGTGTGCATCTACATGGCAGCCATTAAGATGCTGTGTGTTCTGCTGGCTCCTTTGGAGATCTTCTGCTACATAGAAAGCGCCAGACAGTGGCTGGAGTATGCGGGCAACAAGTATTTTGGAAATATAGTGTTCTACAAGAAAGTGGGGATAAAGAGCATCATCGCAATAACGGCTGTGCTGGAGGTAGAGCCGCACGAGGCCTCTGAGTTTCTCAAAAAAATAGAAACAACAGGAAACTATCCGTATATAAACTCTTTTAAGTCTGTGGACAGCGGAAACACAACAAAAAAAACATCTCTCTGCCTGATCATTACGATTCTGATCCCTCTCAGCCTGATCATCCTATTTGGCTCGCTTTTTACGAATGAGTTCAGAGGATACCTGAAACTGGTAGTATCGCTTGTCTGGGCATCGTATGCCACATCGCACATTGGCTACATCTACACAGAAACAATGCACTATGCGGCGGTGCTATCGAATGTGCAAGGAAACCTCTATGGCATGAAATGGGTCGATGCCCATCTGAATGCGCTGTAATTTTTAACAAATAAACAAAAACTATCTATACCTTGAATTGCACTGTGTCTCAGCTTTACTTTTCCAATTCTTAGGCCAGCTAGAGTGTCTCTAGACCTAAAGCTGTCCCATCCAGATACTTGTCTATCTTAGATAAGAACTAAAATTGCAATGTGTCTCTGCAGGACAATAAACTTACTTAATAAAAAACCTCTCTCTTCTACCACAAGTGTACTTTTCATTTGTAAATAGTAAAATACAATAATCTTACTGTTTGCAATTTTTATTTTTTTATTGTGCTGAGCAAATAATTGTGTAGCAAAGATGAATGCAAAGTGTAAATAGTTGTGTGGATACATTTTCTGTCTTTTTTCTTTTCTTCTTTTATATTCAGCATTTTATTATTTTTGCATGAAGGGAAGACTCTCCTGGCTGGACATAAGAGCCGGTGTGAACGAACTCGAAAAGGTCGTTGGAACACACATTAAAACAGTGTACAGCACAAGCAAGAAAGCCATTTTGATCAAATTCAGCAACAAAGAGCAGCTGCTAATCGATCCTCCAAGCAAGTTCCATCTAACACACAAAAACCACGAGAAAGTGAATCTGACTCCCCTGGCTCTTTTCCTGCGAAGAGAGATAAGCAACTACCGAGTGGAAAAAGTGAGCCAGCTGGGATTTGACAGAATAGCTGCCATCAAGCTAAGATCAGCCAAGGGCTCTGTTCTTCTGATCGTAGAAATGTATGCAAATGGAAATATAATACTGGCAGATGAAAACTTAAAAATAATAAACTTGCTAAGGCCGGTTGCACACCTGGGCGTGGTGAAGGACGGGATGTATTTAGTAAACAACCCTGAGCTTGTGCTGGATATCGAGAGATTCGCGTATGTCACCGGAGACACGCTAAAAAAGAAAATCTCAAACTTTTTGTCGCTCTCTGGAAGGGTGGTGGATGACACAGTGCAGCAGATGGAAGAATACTTCAGCAAGAAAATGAAAATGAGCATTCCTCTGAAACTGGAAGATTTTGAAAAAGAAGTAGAGAAGAGATCGGATGAGTTTATAAGCCATTTCAACGCCTTCTTTGGTTCCATCTTTGAGAAGCTGACTACAGTGGGAGACTACGGAGCTGTGTACTACCAAGATGGAAAGCCAACAATGTTCTCTCCGTGGAAGGAAATGCACCCTGCAAAGGGCCAGGAAGTGAAAGAGTTCAAAGGCTTTGGAGAGGCCATGGATGCAGCATTCCTCGTGGTAGAAGTGCAGGAGACAGCAGCCCAGAAGAAGAACAGAAAGATAAGGGAGGCGCAGGAGAGAGACCTGCGCAAGAAAATAGAAGAGATGACTATATTGAAAACAAAAGCAGAAATACTAACAGAGAATCAGCAGGATGTAAAAGATGTTCTTGCGGTTATAGAGACAGCCCAGACATCAAATCTGTCGGAGAAAGAGTTCAAGAGGTTCCAGGAGACAGAGAAAGAAAGGAACAAAATAGCACGGATAATAAAAAAAGTAGACTTTGCCAAAAAAACAGTTGAGCTGTCGCTCGACATGAAAGAGATAACAATAGACTACAACAGATCGCTATTTGAGCAGATAAACTCGTTCTACCAGCAGGCAAAGAAGATAGAAGAAAAGTCGAAAAAAACAAGAATAGCGCTTGCAGAAAGCCAGAACAAGGCGGTTGAAATAAAAAGTAAAATACAGAAAATAGAAAAGATCGAAAGAGCCAGCTTCTGGTTTGAGAAGTTCAGGTGGCTTGTAACGAAAGACTCCGATCTAATCATAGCAGGAAGAGACTCAAAACAGAACGAAATACTGGTAAAGAAGCACCTGAAGGACACCGACTACTATTTCCACGCAGACATAAAGGGAGGATCCAGCGTGATAGTTGGAGAGAACGCAACAGACCTGACAAAAGAAATAGCTGCATCGATGGCCATGCACCTTTCTAAGGCATGGGAGAACAACCTCATCACAGAAGTGTACTCAGTAAGAGGACACCAGGTGAGCAAAACAGCGCCAGCAGGAGAGCATTTGACACACGGAAGTTTTATGATAACGGGGAAAAAAGAGTTCTACAACCCCACAAAGCTGGAGTATGGATTTTCAATACTTTACAAAATAAAAGACATCCCAATCGAAGTATCAGAGGACACAAGAAGAGTGGAAGGGTTTGCAGCAGAGCCTGCAGAAAGTGACGACGTTGAGTACGCAGTTGGAATGTCAGGGCCGTACAAGTATCTGGAAGGAAAGAAGTACAGAATGCTCCCAGGATCAGCCAAAAAAGGGATGGTAATAAAAGAGCTGCTGGCTATAGCAGAGCAGGAAGCCCCAAGACACCTGAAGTTCATAAAGAACATAACAGAAAAAGAGATGGAGCTAACGGTAATAGGAAACTCAAAACTATCGCAGTCAGAAATCGTAAAAAGAGGAGAGAAGTCTTTATTCGCCAGAAAAATAAAAAAAAAGAAAAACAAGAACAAGAGTAAAAGCGACGATGACGACTAAAAAGACAAAAATAAAGATAAACATATTAAAAGAAAGGTGTGTTAGAAGGATATCTATTCAATAGTTCCCAGATTGTTTTGGATATAATGTAAATACTTTCATAACTTATCTCTTATCTTTTTATTTGGATGAAAGGAAATGCTATTTATTTATCACTAGCAGATATAACCGCATAAATAAAATAGTTAACGCACTGTTACGATAGACATTAACTACTCTTTAACGTATGGAATGAACTTCTCCCCAACATACGGTATCAAAACATCTGGCACCATAATTCCTCCTTCTGTCTGGTAGTTCTCCACGAGACAGCACAGGGTTCTTTGCACAGCACAGAGTGTTCCGTTGAGCATGTGAACGAACTGTTTTTTTTCGCTGTTTTCATTGGGCAAAAAACGAACATTCAGGTCTCTGCTTTGATAGTCTGTGCAGTTGGAGCACGACACAAGCTCTCTAAATCGGTCAGATGCAGGGAACAGAGCCTCCAGATCGTACTTTATAGCAGCTGCGTTGTTCAGCGCGCCTGAGACAATGGAGACTACGCGGTAGGAGAGCCCAAGCGTATCGTAGAACTCTTTTGATCTTTCAACCATTTTTTTAAATTCGTTCTCGCTTTCTCCGGGAGTGGTAATCAAAAACTGTTCTATTTTTTCAAACTGGTGGACTCTGAATATTCCTCGGTTGTCCTTTCCATGCGCGCCTGCTTCTTTTCTGAAACACGAAGAGTACCCGCAGTATTTAATGGGGAGCTCGTTCTCTTTTATCCACTCTCCCTCGTGCTGTGCGGATAGCGGCTGTTCTGACGTGGCTATTAGATACGCCTCGTTGTGTCCTTCTATTTTGTACAGCTGATCGTCAAAATCGCTCAACTGCGCTGTTCTTTTCATGGACTCTTTGAGCATCATAAAAGGCGTTTGAATCAAAGAATAGTCGTGCTTTCTCAGAAAGTCCATTGCGTATCTGATCAGACTCTGTGTTAGAATTACGCCGGCGTCCTTTAAAAAGTATCCTCTGTGTCCCGCTATCTTTGTCCCTCTTTCTGTATCGGTTGCCCCCAGTCTGTCCAATATCACGTCATACGAGAGCAGCTCTTTTGGCCAAAATGTTTTTACGTTTTTTCCTGTTTCGAACACGACGGGGTTTTCGTCTTCATTCTGGCTTATGAAAACATTGGGGTCAAGGATATTCCCTATTTCTCTCGCTACCTCGTCTGTTTCTTCTTCTTTCTTCGACAGCTCAGCTGAGCAGGCAGCTCTTTGTTCCTTTATCTCTGCTATCTTTTTCAAAAGAGCGTTTTTTTGTCCTTCCTGTTCTGCAGATGCGCTGCCATTTTTTATTTTGAAGTACTTCATTCCTTCTTTTGTCAGAGCATTCATTTCCTTGTTCAGCTGCTCCATTGTGTATCTCAGCTTTATTCTCTCCTCTATCATGTCCACCACCTTGTTTGAAACGGCGTCTCCTTTAAACCTTCTTTTTTCGCTCTCTATGACAGAATTTCTTGTTTCTGCATTCCTCAGAAGACTCAAGTCAATCATAAAAAATAAAACACAATATTTATTTATAAGCAACGTACAAGCTATTTTTGTTTTATTATTAGTTTGAGCATCCAGCTGTCAGCTAATAATTTATTAAATTCAAGAAAACTTTTCACTCTGCCATTTGAGCCAGTCAGCGCACAGAGCATCCAGCCAGTCAGACAGACAGATAATGGGCGAATCACGAACAAATAATACTCTGCAGCCTGTCTTCGATACTACCACTAAAAATGGAAAAATCAAACAATAATTATCTGCTAACTGGCTGCAAATGATTCTTTGCACACAGAATCATCTAATATCAACAGTTTTAACGGTTTTATGCCCAGTCTAATCTACTAGCAGTAAAAGCACAAAAATCTTTAAATTGGAACAAAAATAGAAAATACACAGGATCGCTTTTATTTCTATATGCTGCTGCATGCCTTCTGCTCGGCATATGAGCACCCGACAAGGCGTATAGCATTCTGAACTATTTCAAGTGGAATATGTCTCCTGGTTAGTTTGGGCTCTGGGTCCTGGAAGTTGCACAGATATTCGATTCTGAATGTCACCAGAGTCTTGCTGCTCTGGATCTCAAAGTCCTGTATAGTTATTCTGGTCTTTCCGTCCAGCTCTTTGCCCTTGAGTATTCCCACGATCTTTTCCTTTATTTCTTCAAGTTTGTCAATCGACTGCTCATCTTTTATCATAAAGACAACAAGCTCTGTTTGGATGTCGCTTCTTCTCATGTTGAAAATGGCTTCCTTGATGAGCTCCTTGTTTGGGATGTAGCACACAGTCCCGCCCTTTGACGTGAATGTGCTGTACATCAGGTCAATGCGCAGCACTGTGAACTCCTCGCTCTTTGCTATTATTTTGTCGCCAACATCGAACGGATGCTCGTGCAGTAAAAATATAAAGTTGTTGAAAACGTCCTTGATAATGTCTGAAAACAGCCATCCTGAACTCATCAGCAAAGGAACAAATCCAGCCAAAGCTCGCACAGGATCGAAGCCTATAAAAGGCGTGCTTATCATAAGAGTAAGAATCAGAGCCACTCCCTCCAGAATGTAGTCCAGAGTGCTTAGTATCTTATCTCTGTCGTACAGGGTTCTTTTCAGATCGATTCTCTCAGAATATGCGGAGTGTGCCATTTTCAGAAGACTTTCTCCTTCGATCAGATGAGACTCTGCATCTTTGGTGTATCCGTGCTCTTCCATGTATTTCCAGATGTCCATCCACTGGGAGTTGAATGCGTCTTTGATGTGGTCCATCGTAATGCTTATGCTCAGTCTCTTGTCTTTCTTGTTTTCTTTCTGGCTCTCTTCATTTTCGTCTTCCTGCTGTGCATGGCCCTGGGGCGCAACGCCAGAGAGTATTCCGTAGACTATCTCTTCGCAGTGCTGCTTGGAGCGTATTTTAAAGTCTGAAAAATGGACCAAAAAAGTGTCCGTTATTTCTATTCCTGAAAACACTTCGCTCTGCATGTCCGTCAGGCTCTGTGTAGAAAGAACTTCTGAGTACTGCGCAAGGCGCCTGAGAATTGAAGTCTTTAAGTTCACTTCGCCAATTCGCCCTGAGAATACGTTATTTCCGCAATAGGCAATGGCCATCTTGAGGAAAAACTTTTCGCATATGAAAAATCCGAACAGAATGCACAGACACATGGAGTACCCTGCGACTCTGCCGTATCCCACAACCTCCATCTTGGTAATAGAGTACTTCTCCAGGAAAAGATTGCAGTGGATTATTCCAAATATTCCGAGGATAAAAAAAGTAAGCAAACCCTTTACATCATCAATAATAAATAGAATAACTTTTCCACCGTGGCTTATTTTGTGGTCAAACATGTCGCAGAGCATGGCCAGGATGAACACTATCCTATTGACTACCAGCTGGGTAGGCAAGTACGTTAAAAACATCGCAGACAGGAAAACTCCTATTTTGAAGTTTTCTTGAGCAGGGGTGATGTTTTCATACAATGAGATAGGAGTGAATATGTGCGGAGCATGCGTCTTCTGGATGAGAAGAATGATAGAGGGCGGGAGGAGAATGATGAACGTGCCTACTATGGCGTATGCAAGCAGAGCCAGATAGTAGTACACTCCTTTCAAGTTTGTTTCAATATACTCCATGATATTGAAAAAGGAAAAGGGCGTCTTGTCTTCCAAATCCTCCACTTCGCTGTTTTTGTTCTGGACCTTTGCTCTGTCTTTTTTTATTTTTGCTTCATCTTTCACCGATTGAAAAACCCCGGTGGGCTGCGCTTCTGGCTCTGAGTCGCTTTTGTCTGAATCTTCGTTATCTTTTGTGTCTCTGGTTTGCGAGGGCCTGGCCAGCAGTTTTTTAAGCTGCTTGGAGGACTTCGAGCTGTTTGGGGAGCCTTCTATGCCCGCGGATGCTGTGTTCTGTGTGGGCGTGTTTATGTCGCTATTTTCTTTATTGTTGTCTCCTTCCATAAAAAAATTGATATTCGTGACTTATATGTTGTGAAGGGAGCAGCAGGGCAGGTAATTAATTGGTCACGCCTGCAGAGCCATTGGACAAAAAGTGTCTGGAGAAAGATGATTTAAAAAATAAACCAGTAAAACAGCGGGATAAGTGTCCAACAAATGGAGAGAAGAAAAAAAGGACAATTAGTGCATAATGATGATACATCCTATGAAATAATAAAATTACTAGAAAAGTAAAATAAAAGAAAAAAGAACGAATGTAAAAATAAAAAGAAAAAGAAACTAATTGAGTGATGATTTACTGGTTATCAAAGGTGGTGCATTGTAAAAGTCCATCCTATTCTTTAATTTGCATTCTCAGTTTGTTGTTGGGCTATTTCTGCCGTGTGGACTAGCTTGCTTTCTCCTGGGCAGAGAATAATTGGCTGGAACTAAATTAAAAAATGAAAGTGAAGTAAATGGCTAGCGATAAAATATAATCTTGCGCTTCTTCAACCATTAGGCTCACAGATATAGCACTAGCAGAGCCAGTAGGTGATATATTCTAAGAATGATGAGACAGCCTCTTAAAATAAAGCAATTTTATTCCAGCACTTGCATCTTATCAGCAATAATTGCTGATTGGGCTGCATTTTAGCCTTTTTTCTATCTTTAGAATTTTTATTTTTCTTCCCTCTCTAACGTATTTGTAATATTTGGAATCTGCAAATTTTTTATGTCTTCTTCAAACAAGAAACTATTTTCAAGCTTTGCACTGGACCCAGAACTTGTCTCTGCTCTTGAGAAAAGAGGGATTATGCACCCCACGCCCGTTCAGGAGCACATCCTCAGCCATCTTCCGCTAAAAAAGGATGTCTATGCCATTTCAAACACGGGCTCTGGCAAAACTCTGGCCTTCACCCTCCCCATTTTGAACTCTCTGCTAAAAGATGACTCCTTTTTTTATGCTCTAATTATTCTTCCAACAAGAGAGTTGTCCCTGCAGGTGCACTCAGTCATCTCGGACCTAGGAGCAGAGATAGGGCTGCGCACAACACTGCTGATAGGCGGCACAGACACTCTATCGCAGGGAAAGAGTCTTTCTGCTCGCCCGCATTTTATCATCGGCACACCCGGGAGAATTCTCTACCACTTTAAAAACACGAAGGGAATAAACTGCAAATCCTTCAAGTATTTGGTGTTTGACGAGTGCGACAGAGTGCTGGACGGAGACTTTGACGGGGATGTCACCGAAATATGCAAAATGATTTCTCCAAAGTTCAAATTTTTGTTCACTGCGACTGCGTCCAAAAGGGTGCGCTCTTTCGTCTCGCAGTCCATGAGCTCCCCCATATTTTTCGGAGATGAAAAGATGGAGGTTTCCGAGTCGGTGTTCCAGCAGTATATGCACATCCCGCAGAAGCACAAAGAGGCATATCTGCTCAATCTAGTGCGCAGCTCAGGGGATAGAATGGGGCTTATATTCGTGGGAACATGCATTTCTGCAGAGAGAATTGGGAGAATTATCAAACTGCTTGGAATGCGCGTGGGATGGATCCACGGAAACCAAAAGCAAAATGTCCGAGAAGAAACAGTGAGCAAGTTCAGGGCAGGCGTATTCACATGGCTTGTGGCAACAGATGTGGCAGCGAGAGGCGTAGATATCACGGGAATACGAATAGTAGTCAACTACGACATGCCGGATGGAATACGAGAGTACGTGCACAGAGTGGGGCGCACCGGGAGAGGAAGCGAAGTCGGAAGAGCCGTTACATTTGTGAGTCAGTACGATGTAGAAGATTTCCGAAGACTCGAAATAAAGCTGGGGAAGAAAATGGCGCAGTGCGAAGTGCCAGCTGAAACCATCTATGCAATGATTGATGAAATTGACGAAGCCAAGAGAACAACAGCTGCAGAAATGAAAGATGAAGGCGTGGGAGAGAAAGTCAAAGAAATGCGCAGAAAGCGAAAGGGCGAGAAGACCAAGAGCAACATGAGAGATAAAAAAAGAAGACAGAAGAATGATTAGAAAATTAGCTGTTTCTGGTAATATTTGCAGCAGAGCGTGAGACTATAAGATTAGCGAATAAAATTATTGTTTAGACAATTTAAACGTTTTTTGCGATAAGAACAATCTATTTAAAAGTTTCATTTATTCACGAAGTAATAATATGTCTCCTTATAAAATTATTATATTCATCCATACCAAAGAACTAAAATGATCATTTTCATTGGTTGATAGAGTTAATAATTAGTATTTAAGCTCATAAAAAATAAAAATTTTGACAAGCATGGAGCTAGATAAGAATAGAATATTAGTATCTGACAATATCAACACAAAAGAAGAAAAAGAAACCCCTTCTGTCTGCGAAGACACAATTGAGTTTGACAACTACAGCAGACAAACAAGGAAAGGGAAGTATCTGCTCAAAAACATCAGCATTCGAATTCCAAAGAACAGATTGGTAGCACTAATGGGCCTGAGCGGGGACGGAAAGTCCACGTTCTTCAACGCCATAGCTGGCCGCTGCGAAAAAGAGACAGTGACATACGGAGAAGTGAATGTGCTCTCTAAAAATGGAAGTTTGGAGCCGCGGGACAGTGTCTCCTGGTTTAAACAGGTGGGATACTCAATGCAGGAGAATGTGCAGTATGGCTCTATGCCCACGTACAGAGTTCTAAAGTCCGTGGCAACCATGGAGAATGTTCCGTACAGCAAGATTGCTTCGCTTATGAAAAGCTTTCGTGTCGAAAAAACAAAAAACACTCCGTTCAACAGGCTGTCTGGAGGAGAGCAAAGAAGAATTTTCACAATTATTGGGCTGCTCAAAACAAAAGAGATAAATCTGTGGGACGAGCCCATCAGCGGCCTTGATGCACACATTGCCCGCATAGCCATTCTCTCCATACAAAAAGAGAAAAGCACAAATATCGTGTCCATACACCAGCCAAGTGAAGCCATTCTGAGCCTTTTCGAGGACATTATTTTTATGCACGCATCAACGATAGTATACAGCGGGCCGCTGAAAGACCTACAGCTGTGCTTTGAAGAAAAGGGAATAGTTTTTCCCAGAGGAGAAACATGCGCTGACTATCTGATAAAGGTAAGCGCGAACTATTCTGAAAATGAGACAGACCAAAAGAACATAGAGATACTCAACAGCATGGCAGAGAGCATATGCAGCTTGCCCTGTGGGAAGAGAGCAGAAGGCAACGTGTTCTTTGTGCCTTCTTTTACAGCGCGCTTTAGAAATGTGCAGGAGATCCTTCTTCGGTCTTTCTACTACAACAAGTTCTTCAAGGGCTCTTCGATGCTAGTGGAGATACTTTTCTATGTTATGCTAGTGACTTTCATGTTTTTTCTAGTTAAAAGCAACATATATGGAGAAATTATTAGAGCAGTTTTTACTCCAAAAGAAATTCTCAACTTATTTGCAAACAATGCAAGTAAAGTGCTATGCAGAACATACATAACTATATCTGAATACGATGTGACATATTTTAGAAAGCATCCGAATGAGCCTCTATCTCTTTTTTATAACCTTTTCAACCTAGACTATCTGTTTTTTAGGCGGCCAATGATTTCACGTTTTGGTTCTAATTTAGAGATGGATATTGAATATAGCAAATTGGTGAGCGTCGTAAAAGAGAAAGCCAAAGTATTTTCAGGGAATCCAGAGCTGAATAGCATGCTTGAAAAGTCAGTCAGTGGGATGTGTGGTATAGAAAATATCATTAACGTCATTTCAGTTATTGGCTATACTCTGTGCAGTATATTTACATTCATTATGCTACTTGGCATATGCACTTCTGCTAACATAACAAATCTCTGCTACTACAGAATATGCAAAAGAAACATAGTAGAAGGACGGATAAGCATCGCAGAGTGCATAATCTCGCAGCTAGTGGAGCTGGTGTTCAGAAAAGGAGTGCTTATTTTTGCTGCTAGCTGTGCTGTCTCCATCCTTGCCAAAAGGTCCTTTGAATCCTTCTTTGAAATCACAAATTCAATCGGTTTTATTTCCATTTTTGCTTCTTCTCTGTATGTTGCAGCCATCTGCATGCTGTGGATTGTTGCCATTTTGCTGTCTCCGTTTTCTCAAAAAATACAATCGCTTATATATGTTGCTCTAGAAGTAAGTTTGAAACTTTTTAAAGGCATCCTGTATTTGAACAGTGCCATAAGCTTTTCTTTGCCAGAGAACGAAGACTTTATATTTGAAAAGTATTTGGGTAAACAAATATTAAACTACAGTAGTGAAGTGCTCAATTCTGAAATAATTATAGCCATGCTGAACACGCGCTGGAAGATCCCAAAGTTCCTGGGAGAAATCATAGTGAAAGTGGCAGTGTTTTTCCATAACTATGTCTTCTTTTCTCTTGATACTATTAAAGAACTGGTTCTGAAAATTTCAATCTATACGGGGTGCTTAAAAGACCCTTTTTCAAAGTTCAAGAGCTCTGAAGAGCTTCTAGCGTACATAAAAGAGGCAAGCGCTAAAGACTGCGCAGAGCATGCAAAAAACGGTACTGCAACAGTTCTTTCTTTGATTTCTAAGATAGACGAGAAATATAAAAGAACAGACGGATGGGACTTGATCAAAAACATCATCGTAAAAAATCAGTTTGAGCTGTACAAAAGAATAGTAGGTCCAAATGAAATATATGCATCCACTCCCATTTCAAACATTGGCCTGCTGAGCATCCTTAAAACATTCTTGAAGCCTCTTCTGCTTCCTCTGCTGTTAAGTGCTCTCTCAATAGTGTACAGCTATTTCTACATGCAGCCAAAAATCAGGAACTATTAGATCAGGCGCAAAAAAACACGTTAGCTCATAGGCCTATGGGTGTTCTTCTAATGAAAAATAGCCATATACTAAACTCTTAAAATAAAGCTAAAATGAGAAATGTCTTTTGTCCATTTTTGCCCGGCTTCATTGCTCTGTTTGCAGAATTTACTCTGCTCTTTACAACATTGCAAATTTGTTCTCATGTTCATTGGTGGGTTAGTAGTAAGATGTGTGAGACAATAAAATTTATTTTATTTATCTGATTCTGTATGTTAGCTGAACAGAGAAGAGTCCAAAAGTGAAAAGAAACAAAGTAGAAGAGTCTCTTATAAGATCAATTTATACTGTTATTAGAAGGAAATATCACTGCGTATGAAATATTTAGCAATATTGCTAGGAGATTGCAAATTTGATCTACAGCACTAAAAAAATCGCTCTTACCTTAAATGAAAAAATATAAATGGAAAAGTCATATTTTTAGCATGAAAAATCGGAAAATAAAGAGAACGCTGAGCGCTGCTACCTTATTTATTCTCTTTGGCACAGGATGCAGGGGGAGCTGGGATGCCTTTAATGAAGAGATGGGAAATAGTGCTAGTCTATTGGATGGCGAGAATGCTGTGAGCGCAACGGAAAGACAGGACCCTTCTTTTTTTGACGCTCCTTTTTCTGCACATGACCCTTTATGGAATATGCGTTATTTTAACACAGTAGAGCCGTTAGCGCGCCAGGAAGAGCAGACAGCAGAGTATGCACCAGGACCGAGCACAGAAGGAGATTTTTATACGCTGACCAATATGGGAGAAAGTGTCCATAGGCCAGCATCAGGTATGAGGGAGGAATCTTCTAGTGCGCAACCTGAAAAAGAGCAAAGTTTTTTTAGTGAGGCATACGATAGACCTAGCACATCACAAGAGGAGTATAGGATGCATAATGGAGAGAATGATCTAATCTTTGTTTCCAAGGATCTCTCTAACGACGGTTATTTCCAAAATGACAGTGATATGATTCTTGATAATTTTGATGGAGAAGATCAAACAGCAAGCCGTCACAGCCAGCCTTTGCAGTGCGCAGACGGCTCCAATCCAGTTGGCAGTCCTTCTAGCAAAGAATGTGAGAGCCCTAGACAGATCAGAGGAAAAAAAAGAAAAATTGATGAGCCGGAAAATCCAGCAGACTATCCTCTCCTTCGATCTCTATTGGAGAAAAAAAAAGAAAAAAAGGAAACGCCACTAAAGAAAGTGTCGTATTCAGAATATCAGAAAAAAGAAGCTAAAAAGAGCTCCAAAGAAAGAGTCCGTACTGAAAGGGCCACAAAAATAAGGCTAGACCAGCTCGACATAGGGATATGGAATGAAAAAAGACTGACCAGCCTGAGAAGAAGAGGCTACAAGTCAAAACACAGAACAATATACAGCTTTAACACTTTTAACAAAAATATAACCACAGAGTTCAAGACAGAACTATTCCAAAAAAGACTCAGAAAAAGCATCGAAGACTTTTCAGCGCAGCTTTCATCAAACATAGAAAAGAACGCGCTCTGGTACTTCATTGCAAGCGGGTCTACAAATATAAC